TTCAATTAAACTTCTAATTCACCTCCTCTTAATGCTTTTAAGAATCTCATTTAGTTTGTTTTTAATGTATTGAATCAATCTATAAGAAACCAAGTTGGGATATTGTTTTGTTATCCTTTGTGTTGGTGATGAAGGATTCAATAATTTTCATTATAGTCAATGATTAAAAGCTTTAGTTTTTGACAGAGAATTCAAAGCTTATGGCGTATATTTACTTTTTAATTTCTTAATTATGAGATTTATTCTGGAGTCCAATAATAAGGATTAAATTTATGAAATTTGGAATGAGAATATACCCTAGAGAAGACTAAGTCAAGTTAGAGTTGTCATTTGAATTGTTTTTACTTCGGATGAAGTTTTCATGTTTCTAATGATAGAAAAAATTTAGTTAACGCATCTTTGTTAAATCAAAATGGTTCCATTCTTATTGTAGAAAATAATAAAATAATTATTAGTATATTTGGATATTATTTTAGAAATTGTTATTTGCTTAATAGTTTTTATAAATTAAGTATAATGTCTTTTACTAATACTATTTTGCAATTTTCATTTTCAAATGTTGAATGTTATGATTCATCATATAGCATGTTTAGACATGTTAACTTTAACACTATTAAAAAAAATGATGCATTTAAATCTAATTCTTAAGTTACATATTAATAAAAAAAAATATAACAAAAATTTGTGTACAAGCTAAACAATCTAGAAAGATTTTTAATCTAGTAGAAAAGAAAACAATTCTATTGAAATTAATAGATCATGATATTTATGATAGCAATATCACATTAACTCGTGATGATAAAAAATATTTTATAATTTTTATCGATGTTTTTTAAGATATTGTTAAGCTTATTTAACTAATTATAAAAGTGAATTATTTGATAAGTTTTAATATTTTTAAAGTAGATGTAAAAAAATCAATCAGAAAAAAATAAAAATTTTATGATTTCATAAGGATAATGACTTTTAATGAAATGAATGGATTTTTAGAATTGCATGGTATTATACATAAAATAAAGCCCCCTTATTCACAACAGTCTAATGTTATAGTAGAAAGAAAAAATAGAATTGTAATGAATATGTTATACCCAAATTTTTATTCTTGTTGTTTCTTATATATTTGAAACAAAAATGCAATCGAGGACATAATTAAAAAGAAAATTCAGAGAAAAATTTGATTTGTCTATAATTAAAAAATTAAAAAAAAGATGAATATATAATAAACATCTAAATTCAGGGGTATGATTAGTTAATCAAGGGTGAGATTAAAGAGAAAAATGAGATTTAGAGGATAATTGACCAAAAATACATAATTTGGGAAACTAAAGACTAAATTGGGATAAGCTCTGAAACTAAAGAGTTCGATTAATTCATTAGAAATGAAATTGAAAAGTAAATCTAAAATTAAAACTTTAATTGAATGAAAATTGAAAAATAATAAATCCCAGGACCACAATAAAAAAAAAAAGAAGAAACATTTGAGGATGCAATTGAATTTCTAGCCTTACCAAACACGACGTCGTTTTTATAAACCATAAAAACAGAGAATAGAAACAATGTCGTTCCTCCTGGAGATTGGAAACACGCTGTAATGCATATTTTCAGCCCTTTCTCAAGCAATTTTGGTTTTGATTCTCAACTTTGATTGATGCCCAGGAAATAAAAAAACAGGTGATAATTGTTCTTCAACATGACAGCTACAAATTCCACTTAAGAAATGGCATTTTAATGCCCTAAATCACCCCCCCAGATCACATCAAGATGCCACAGTAACCATCACTTTAAAGGCATGATATCAAACGTTTTTGAGAGAAGATTGCGGGAGATTTTCAGCAAGATCTCTTGCTAATAATTAAATAAAATTGAAGAACACTGTAGCCTGCATCCTACCTATAAATAGGCCATGAAATCATCACAAAAAGGGGGGAGGAAAAAAAAAGCAGCATCATAAGAAAACAACAGTTACACTGTAGCAGTAAACTTGGCCAATTTCAAAAAGCTTTCATTTCCGGCTTCATTTATTGGTATTGAGATATCCAAGAATCACAGAAAAATTATCCAGCTTCAACATCAATTCCAGACAGCAGTAACAGTACCGTCTTTGGGGCCAGATAGCTTTAGATCTTGTAGCCACAGCTCCAGTCTGGTCTTTCTTCCAAGTTTCTACTGTCAAACCATAAACTTTTGGGTCCATATAACAAGGTGATGTATAATTTATTTTGTTGTTCCATGATAATATATCACTTTGATTTCTGTCATTGTAATGTATCACTAAGGATAATATACATTAGTTTCGTTTGAATCGTAAGAATTTCCAATAGTTCTTCGTGAATGTGTGTGTCAAACCAAGGATTATGAACTTTTGTTATTAAGTGTGTGTTAAACCAGA